AAAACTGACTTCTTCTTACTCACTCATTTGTGTCCTTTTTTGTGGTGAGCTACAGTGTCATTGACACTTTCATTATGTCAAGGAACCCGATGGAAAACATGAAATATCCTAACATACATATTCAAATTAAACAAATACAATATAAAATGTTTTTAGGTCAAAGAACTCGGTTACATATATGTGAAAAATCATGATGAAAAATAATACCATCTATACTTTAGTTCATAATTTCTGTTACAACTTGGAAGGTACGCCTGCGTGCCTGCCAAAACGTCGTTTCTTAGATCACAGCGTGAACAAAAATATGTTGCCTATGTGGAGTCACTTAATTGGAAAGATTATTCCGTGAATGTTCGCTCTTGACCACTATCACTATGCTCGCTGGATGACGGTTCATGTGAGAGATAAACTTGCCCTCGAGATTAACTGCCCTACCACACATGAGGAGTTCCTCAAAGGCAACTCTGTGACACAGAAAACCATGCACAAATTCTCAGCACTAGCCCATGATGAAGTTCATGAAAAGCTGAATGCAATGGTGAAGGGAGATGGAAGCGTAATAGGTATCATTGAAAATAAAGCAGCACTGAGACGGTGGATGGTGGCAGGTCCAGAAACAGCTAGACTATTAATGGAGTATGATGACAAACATTCAATTAAAAAGAAGGACACAGAACGCCACCATGAACAAATACCAAGTGTGCAGAAGGCTTGCTTATACCAAAGAGATAATGTCCAATAGTGTGGTAGATACTATAAGGATAAGGTCCGCAGAAGACATAGGCAAAGCACAGTACCAGAAATTTGTTGCGGAGCGTATCAATGACAACATCACTGCATTCAATGACACCATACATAGGTACAATCTGCCTCTGTTGAATTCTAGTTCAGGAAAGAAACCTGCGAAGTCCACTTCCAATATTTCCAACCTGCACAATGATGTTCATCTCTTCTCACGGCTGTATATATCGTGTCAAGCTACAGAAAGTGATATGGATGCCTTCTTCACACATGAAAATCATGTTTGGCCTCCATCGTTGGCGTCAAATGGTATCATGCGCCAAACAAGCAAATCTGACATGATGGAATGCTTGGAGTCATTGGTACCACAGCCGGAATCTGTTCCAAATGTTGATGTCAACATTGTTGACGGTGCTGCCATTGTGCACATGCTTGACCCAAAGAAGTCCCAACTTTCCGTCTAAACATTTCAGAACTATTCACAATTGGTGTTTTTTCCCTATATAGAACACATGCTACAAGACCTTGTTCGCGTAGATGTTGTCTGGGATGTCTACAGGGAGGACAGCCTAAGGCACAAACCGTGGATCTGGTAATCATCTCCGGGTGAACAATAACACCAACATTCCTGTTAACTGGAAGAACTTCCTTCGCTGAGATGCAAACAAAGACAGCCTGTTCCAACTTCTAGCCAATGCAATACAAGATTTTAACCTCCTCCACAGAAGCTAGTGAACTCCACACATGGCCAGAATGCTGTATC